GTTTATTTATCTCTTATATATAACATCTTTTACATCATTTTAATATTTAATTGTGTGAAAAAGGTGAAACAATGATATATATACAAAATAATAAATAACCCTAAATAAAATAAAAACTTAAAAAAATAAAAGAAATGAGTGAAGAAAATATAACATCAAAAGAAATTAATGAAAGAAAAATAGAAGAGAAATCAGATAAAGAAGAAAAGAAAATTAGAAAACAAAGATATAAAAAAGAAGAAGAAATTATTGGAAATCCATTAGAAGAATATTTTGAGAAAGTATCTAAAAATGTTGCACCATATAATCCAATAGGAAGAGCAGAAGAAGAAATTGAAGAAGGATTTTCACAAAAAAGTATAATTTATATTAATAAATTATTTGCTGATGCAGCACAAGAAAGAAATTATGGAAAAGTTATTTATTTATATAAAAAATTAATTGAAAGTGGTATTAAAGAAGATCTTCATACAATTACTAATATTATTAATTCAGCTGCTAGAGTTGGTGATGGAATTTTAGTAGATAAAACATGGATAAGAATGAAACAATTAGGATTAAAAGCAAATGAAGTCACAAGAACTGTTTCAGTTAAAGGATATTTTGCAGCTGGTTTAGTTGAAAAAGCAATGTATACTTATTATTGTATGGATAATAGAAATAATATTAGAAGTATTAATGCAGCAATTAGAGGATTATTAAGATTAGGAAATTCAAAACAAATTCATACATTTACAAAACATCCTATTAATGCAGAAGATATGACTACAAAAGAATATCTTACTGGATTATATTCAATAGAACAAGAAATTTCATTAATTAGAAAAATTATGGAAAGTATTAATAATGAAGAAGAAATGTCACCTACTTCTTTAATTAATTTAGCTACATTAAATTGTCTTATTGGAGATGTAGAAACAGGAGATTTATTATTAAAAGAATTTGAAGATATTTCTAAAAGAGAAACAGATGCTAGAAAATCAATTCGTTTATTTAAAAAACATCAAATTGCTCAATTAAGAAATAGAAGAAAACATATTAGAACATTTATATTAAATACTCAAACTATTTTAAAAGAACAACGAAAGAAATATTCATTTAATAAATCAAA